GAAGGGGAGCGCAGCGGATACCGAGCGGATGGACAGATGAAGAGTGAAATATAGCTCAGAAGCGAAACAGTACACGTATTTGATCGATGTCTTAATTGGCGCTACTTTTCTGGCTTAGCGATTCGATTGTGGTTAATGCCAGTTGTGATCGAAAAAATGCCTCTCAAGAAAAGGACGAATGGTCAGCAACGGAAACAGCACAGCCGAGTTAGCTATGTTTGGGACTATGAAGTGGATGAAAAGAACAAAGCAGCAATGGGCGCCCATTGAAACGGACAAGGATGGGTACGAAGAAAGCGATTCGAACAACGATAATGATGATGAAGATGTTGGAGCAAATAATGATGGACAGTGGATGTAAATGAAAAGAAAGTGCAGTTGTCGGTAAAAGGTGATATTGCCGATGCTGAAGAAATTGATACAACTCCAGAGAGATGCGCTTAAAAAATTCTGACCAAAGAATGAAGTTCAGATATTTTCGAGGTTCAATTGATGACGAAGACAAAATAAGATAGGCTAGTTATATTGCTTCTGCATCAAATTAAGGCGACACAAAGAAACTGTGGTCTGCGATTTGCTTTTTGCTTGGAAATCCGAATGAACTCGGAATATTTTTACCAGAATTACTAAATGGATCCAGAAAAACGTAAGCTAATATGCTTAAATGAATTGCGGAAGACGTGCGGAATAAGCTGAAATAAATTCGAGAAATCTACAGAATATGTTCGAACGAATTCAGAAAATGCGTGGCATGTGTTCCAGCGAATTCAGAAAATGTACAAAGAGCGTTTTAATGGAAACAGACAAAGAGACCCGCGAGTGCTTGGATGAATTCGGAAAATGCTGAGGAAAAGCATGGATGAGTGCGGCAGGGGTGCAGAGTATGCACGGACGAACCCAAAAAAATGTACACAACTTATCGTCCGGAAACGGTTTATATGCAAGTGTCAGTTGTTGATAATATTTGCCTTGCGATGTGATTTCCTTAAAAATTGTTCTTTTGTTTTTTCT